TCTATGATTCTATGAAAAAAAAAAATGATCTCATTGAAAAGACTCCACCAAACTCATGTGTAGAACTTCAGCTCCTTCAAAGAAAGACAACCATGATGTCCCCAGAGCTTCTTGCCTGCCTGAGGACAGAAAATGCTCCTTGATTAGCTGGAAAGACTCTCGTTTGATGGCATCAGCTGGGTAAAGGGGTGATGCCTACAAGTGCCGTAGCAAGCCAGGGTGCAACAAGGAGGCTGAGAAAACTGTTGAGAGGAAGGTGGGGGAGGGAGGAAAAGTTCACACCTTCTGCATCAATCAATGTTTCTTGCAGAAACTAATGCTGTCAGTAGTGGTAAAGAGCGTGAGTAATAACAGCCCCAGCCCCAGCAGCTTATAGTAATTCACAAAAGAAGAGCAACAGAAGCCAAGTAGGAGATGAAAGGAGGAGATGCCAAAGCAGCCAAAGGACACGTCTTTGTTGAAACACAAACTTCTGAAAAGATTTCTTCTCTTGTAAGAACTGAAAGTTCTGCAGCATGTGAGGTGGTGCAGCTCAGGGTGAAGGCAGGCAGGCGGGTGTGTGAGCCCATGGCCAGCCCATACGGACCTTGGCAGAAGCTAGTAGGATTGCCCTCAGGTTGGTGTTGGGTGTCCTGGAGGCTGCTGTGCTGTCCTCTGGAGCAGAAATGCTCTTTGCTCAGCTAATTCCTGGTGGGATAGCTCTCTCCCTAATGCATGCCCAGGTTAGAATCATGGAATGGTTTGGGTTGGAAGGGACCTTAAAGCTCATCCAGTCCCAACCCCCCTGCCAGCAGCAGGGACACCTTCCACTAGACCAGGTTGCTCAAAGCCTCATCCAACCTGGCCTTCAACACTTCCAGGGAGGAGCAGCCACAGCTTTTCTGGCCAACCTGGGCCAGTTTGGCTCTGCTGAAGCCATAGAGGTCTTCAGTGACCCCATGCATGGTGGAGGATTCATCTGAGGAGGCTACAGGTGAAATCACTTCTCTACTTGGGAAAAGATGACTTGGCAAAATTAGACTGTGCTGTTGAAACCTGCCAATATCAGCAGGATGGAGAGGGCCCGGGCAGTTTCCCAGCCAAGTCATTCAACTCCTCTGCAAACAACTGAGCAAGCTCAAGATCCTGGGGCACGCTGCCTGAGCTGCGGTTCATTAGCACCAGGAGCTAACGAACCCCATAACTCCAGTCAGGATGATGTTGTGGGGATTTAGTAAAATGCTTAGGTATGAACCCCTACAAAATATTTCTCTTTGCCCATCTGAGATGCACAAACTGCCTTTTCTAGATGTGTCGCGATGCGAAGGGCCACCACAGCTCCGGGAAAATTCCCCCAACCTTCAACACCATCAATGAAAACATCCTTCAGACCTTCTCAGTCAACTCTGGAAATTCCTGTTTTGCAAGAAACTTGAACCGCTTCATTTTCTCTTCATTAAAAACCCAATTGTCTTCCAGAAGTTACTTCCCTGTTGGCTCTGGGTCTGGATCTACAGAAATTCTTCAAGCCAAGCAGTAAAAAACCCAGCAGCGTTTTGACTTCATTAGCTGAAGTTTCTGCTCGTACACAAAGGTGAGAGACCAGCTTGGCACGGGAGATGCCATCGTGAGTTACCTGCTTCTGGAGTCTGGGCTTGGTACGTGCTCCAGTTACTCCACAGTCCTCGCTCGGGGTGAATTTTACAGCTGACCTGAAACTCGTAGGCTGTGTGAGGTTCCAGATCATCAAGACTGTATTTTTCACTGTTTAAGTTTTCAACCTTTAAGGAAGAGAAAGGAAATATAACATTAAACTCACGAGGAAATGAAGGTTGAAGGCAGTGATGGGTTGAATTACTAATGCCCAAAATGAAGCCCAACCAGCCAAAACACGTCTTGAAAAAAACAATGGGGAAAACCCTGATCTGAGACAACTTTAACAACTCCAAGAATGATGCAATGAATCATCAGGCTGGCAGTTTTTCATCTGAAAAAAATCCCTCGTTTAATTACGTGAAGATAACTATTTATTCACGTTTTACTCAATAAATTTCTTTTACCACTTAAAAAAATAGGCTGGCAGTTTTTCATCTGAAAAAAATCCCTTGTTTAATTACGTGAAGATAACAAATTATCTATTCACGTTTTACTCAATAAATATCTTTTACCACTTAAAAAAAACCCCAAAACAATGATTTCCAATCTTTGGAGAAGGCACCTACATTTGGAAACTGCATGTCTGTAGCTGTGAGATGCAATGAGAAGATTGGTTTAGTTTGGATGTGAGGAGAAACTCCTTCACCCCAAGGTTGTCAGGCATTGGAACAGGCTGCCCAGGGAGGTGGTGGAGTCACCTTCCCTGGTGGGATTGAACAGACGGGCAGACGAGGTGCTCAGGGACATGGGTTAGAGGTGGGATTGGCAGTGTTGGGTTCATGGTTGGACTCGATGATCTTAAAGGTCTTTTCCAACCACTATAATTCTGTGATTCTAAGATATGACCATATTCTGATAAAGTGGTGGGTCAAACATAACCTTGGATTCTTCAGTGCAGCTCACAGACACGTGACACACGTGGAAATACTCATGCACATGTGTTTCTCCAGGATCAGTGTTTCACCAATGATTTATTTTTGACCAGCAGGCAATAGTTTTAATTAAATATGGTGTTCAAGAGCAGAGAAGGTCAAATTTGGACAAAGTGGTTCTGGTAAGAAATAATGATACTAAAGCAACCTCCAGAGATCCTAATTTCCTTTATTCAGAAGAGGATTACCGTGCTCCAGGTGTGCCTGGTGAGAGGACGGTATCTCAGCCTGCAGTGCCGCGCTCGTGCTTCACCGTGCCAAATAAAGGTGCAGTTGGTGGCAGAAGAGTTTGCAAATTCCACTGAAAAGTTGGGAGGATGTGGTTTCACTAGCAGCAAAGAAACAGAAAGAAGCAGAGAGCGCTCAGGAACGCGGCACAGCTCGGAACGGGGGGTTAGGTTAGGTGGGAAGGAGGATTACTGGTTTAGACTGGAGGGATGGTTTTTGTCAGAGGTTTAAGGGAGAAAGTGCTCAAAAGGGTTCCCAGGTCTTTCTAAAAGGCTGGGGGTACCTGCAGGGTGGTCAGTAGTACCTATGTCGAGTAACATGAAGATGAGTGGCTGTGAAAAAGCACTTCCTAGCTCGTTGGAGGCGGCAACCACAAGGGTGTAAGCCGAGTCAAAATCCAACTTGCTCAGAGCCAGCGTGCCAAACCTCTTATTCAGATTTTCTTCTGGAACACAGAAGACATCTGTTCCATTTGATAGCCTGGAACAGAAGGAAAACACTTGGTTATTGTTCTCCTGTGCACCAAGAAAGCCAGGGTACTGCACCTGGGGAGGAGGAACCCCAGGCACCAGGACAGATCGAGGGTTGACTTCCTGGAAGGCAGCTCTGCAGAGAAGGACCTGGGAGTGCTGGTGGGTGACCAGTTGACCATGAGCCAGTAATGGGTCCTTGTGGCCAAGAAGGCCAATGGTCTCCTGGGGGCATTGAGAGGAGTGTGACCAGCAGGTCGAGGGAGGTTCCCCTCCCCCTCTACTCTGCCCAGATGAGGCCACATCTGGAGTGTTGTGTCCAGTTCTGGGCTCCCCAGTTCAAGAGGGACAGGGAACTGCTGGAGAGAGTCCAGCAGAGGCCACAGAGTTGATGAGGGGCTGGAGCATCTTTCTTAGATGGAAAGACTGAGAGAGATGGGACTGTTCAGCCTGGAGAAGAGCAGCCTGAGAGGGGACCTTATCAATGTTTATCAATATCTAAATATTGATATATAATATAAAGGGTGTGTGTCAGGAGGATGTGGCCAGACTCTTTTCAGTGGTGGCCAGTGACAGGACAAGGGGCAACAGGTACAAACTGGAACACAGGAGGTTCCACTTAAACATGAGGAGAAACTTCTTTGCTGTGAGGGTGCCAGAGCCCTGGGACAGGCTGCCCAGAGAGGCTTAAATACACCATTTATGGTAAATATTCCTCTGGCTAAACTGGTAGTAAAGGTGTTATACTGGTTTTTGGTTTTGATTTCAGATAAAGGAAACGCTTCTGGGTTTCCACTGAGCTGCAAGTAGGTGAGTAGGTTCCTTTTGACAGTACAATGGTCACCTAATGCTGGTTACTTACTATTTCCCTATGGATGAGCACAGAACTTGAGGGGATGATGGATTTGAGGGTTGTTTTGTTGTTGTTGTTGTCTTTTACATAAGTTAGTGACTAAAAATATAATTTATCTGCAGTCTAACTGTCAGACCACATGACTTCAAACACAACTTTTAATTCTCCACCTGTCATTCAACCCATTGCCTTGGGTAACCCATTTAGCTTCTCCATGGATTTTCTTCCACCTCAATCAGAGATGTTTACATCACGCTGACCTGTTGTATTTTGTAATATATTTAATAACTTAACATACCATGGCAACACTTGTAGGACTCATTATCTACACCTCTCTACTCTTCTGCACGTTACTCACATATTCATCTAGATGATCTTTCGAGGTCCCTTCCAATCCCTAATGTGATTCTGTGATTCTTTCTTCTTGTGCTTGAAGAGCAGTGACAAATTTCTACAAGCTACTGAGAAACTTGCTGCTACCCTGGCTAACAAAAGCAGGTGGAGAAGAAGGTGAAGGTGGTGAAGAAGATGGTGAAGTAGAAGATGAAGAAGGAGGTGAAGAAGGGTGAGCCTCACAGGGTAGGGAGATGATGTTAAAGAACCCATGTCTCTGTGTTACTTACTGTATTACATAGGTGGTGTTGATGTACGTGAGCCTTCCCTTATCCCAGGTGCAGGTGGGATGCCCCTCTGTCCCGTCCTGGATACACGACACATTGCTTGGCTCATCTGGAGGATCTTAAACAGATGTTCTTATCAGTTTCTTCCTTAAAGACATTGATAGGAGACATTTTAAGAAATTCTAGGTTTGGCTTTTTGGTTGGTTTGGGGTTTTTTTTTTAAAGAATTTAGAGGCAAAATATTTGGGCTAATCATTTTTGTGTGTGAAAAGAGCTGAGTCTGTGATGTCTGCAGCCTGTTGAGACCTCTGACACTTGAGAGAAACCCTTCACAAGGCTGCCAGATGAATGCAAGTGCTTAACAGCTCTCCAGACTGGGTACCACAGTGCTGGAACCAATCAACCATTATTCTTATTTTTAAAAAAGAAAAAAAACCCAACAGCACTGACCCAGCAGATGAGTGCTGCAGCAGTGTCAGCTCATCAGGTTAAAAGAAAATCTAAAATCTAAAATTTCCTTAGAATCTCTCGACCAAGGCCCAAGGGACAGGACAAGAGGAAATGGGCTCCAGTTGTGGCCAGGGCAGTTGAGATGGGATGTGAGGAAGAATTTCTTTGCTGCAAGGGTTCTGAGGCATTGGAAGGGGTTGCCCAGGGCAGTGGTGGAGTCCCCATCCCTGGAGGGACTGAAGAGTTGTGTAGACACAGTGCTGAGGGACATGGGTTAGTCATAGGGGACTGGTCAGTGTTGGGTTCATGGTTGGACTCCATGAGCTTCAAGGGCTTTTCCAGTTGAGGTGATTCTCTGATTCTCCATTTATCAATAACAGAATTGAGTTGCACAGACCCATCCAGGAATATTTGAAATACAAAGAGCCACAAAAAGCCAGCACTTGCTCTGGAAAAGGCCACCCACTGCCAATTTCTAACACGTGTCTCAGAGGTGCCACAGGAAACGTTTAAGAACAAGGAATAATGAAATCCTCCTTACTTCCAGCTTCTATATCGATTCCACAGATGAGTTTTTTCCTGTATTCACACACTGTTTTGCAGGTGAACATGTGTTTGCCGTAGGAACGGACCGGAAAGCGGGTGCTGACGGAGCTGCTGTAATTGTTAATTAGTTCAGAGCTGTTAAAGAAAATCGCCGTCCTGCACTGCGGAGTGTGCCACGGGGGGTTCAGCTGGCACCAGAGGGTGACGTTGGTCCCAGGCTGGACGTGAGGAGCAGGGTCAGCAGTCATGTTCCCTTTGTCACATATTTCTGCAGCACCACGGGAAGGTTTGCTAACAGGCATGTTCCTGTTCCTGCACGCTTCTGCAATGGAATGGGAAAAGAAAGCTTGAAGAGAAATACAGATCTTGTGCCACACGCTGGGTTCAAAAAGGAGAGGCTCCCTGGGTTTATAATGTCAGCCTGGAGAAGAGAAGGCTCCGGGGAGATCTTATAGTGACCTCCCAGTACCTGAAGGGGCTACAAGAAAGCTGGGGAGGGACTTTTCATAAGGGCAGTTAGTGACAAAACAAGGGGAAATGGGTTTAAGCTGAAAGAGGGGAGGTTTAGATGAGATATTAGGAAGAAGTTCTTCACTGTGAGGGTGGGCAGACACTGGAACAGGTTGCCCAAGGAAGTTGTGGATGCCCCCTCCCTGGAAGTGTTGAATGCCAGGTTGGAAGAGGCTTTGAGCAACCTGGTCTAGTGGAAGGTGTCCCTGCTGCTGGCAGGGGGGTTGGAACTGGATGAGCTTTAAGGTCCCTTCCAACCAAAACCAGTCTGGGATTCTATGATAATGTCAGAATTCCTGCCTCTGTGTGGTAAGGGACAGGAGAAGGACATGGAGGTGCTGGAGCGTGTCCAGAGAAGGGAACGGAGCTGGGGAAGGGTCTGGAGCACAAGTGTGCTGAGTTCCCTTGTGGCTGGGGGAACTGGGGGGGTTGAGCCTGGAGAAAAGGAGGCTGAGGGGAGACATTGTGGCTCTGTGCAAGTCCCTTGGAGGAGGGTGTAGAGAGGTGGGGGGGGGTCTGTTCAACCAAGGACCAAGGGACAGGTTTTTTTAGGGGTTGCCCAGGGCAGTGGTGGAGTCCCCATCCCTGGAGGTATCTAAAAGACGGGTAGATGAGGTGCTCAGAAATCTGGTTTAGTAGTGGAAAGGTACTGTTGGACTTAATGATCTCAAAGGCCGTACCCCTGCCCTGATGCTAATCAAGCACCAATTTTTGCTCTCTAATAAGGAAGGTGTTTATTAGCATACCATACACAAGCTGGGAGGAAAAAAAAATAGCCTGAGCGTTTCTTTTAAGTGATAATTGCTACGTAGGAAAGAAAAAAACATCTCTTACCTGTGGTGAAGTGCACCAACAACCAAACTGCTGTGGGCACAACCCATGCAAATAGCATTTTGCTCCCTCTAGAGAAATGAAGAACTTTTACCAGTTCCTAAAAAGTGGGAAAACAATTTACAGATATTTGTATTTTACTCTTTTAGAACTGCAGAAAATCCAAAGTGCTTATTTTGTCAGACCTTCCTCATTCACATTCTCTGCTAATATTGTCAAGTCCTTCCCAAGGACCCTCTGCAAGCCCAGAACCAAAAATCTTCCAGTGAAGGAGAAGAAATGGCAGGAAGATGTGGCAGGGGAGGGTGAGGTTGGCCATGAGGAAAAGGTTCTTCAGGCACCCAGAGGGTGGTGGAGCACTGGAACAGGCTCCCCAGGGAGGTGCTCATGGCACCAAGCCTGACAAGATTCCAGGAGCATTTGGCCAAGGCCCTCAGGGACATGGTGTGAATGTTGGGATTGTCCTGTGCAGGGACAGGAGTTGGACTCCATCATCCTGGTGGGTCCCTCACAGCTCACAACATTTCCTGATTCTAAGACCAAACCATCAGGACCCCTCATGCTATTTCTCCCCAGGGTTTGGTTGGGATCTTCTGCTCCAGCCTGACCCACACTCTCCCGAAATCCCACACCCATTTTTTGATGGATCAGCCCCAGGACCCCGCCCCCAGGACCCTCCCGTGTCCTTCAGCCGGTCTGTGCTTGGATTTCATACGGGTGACCCCAAATCCAAATGAACTGAGCTCATCTCGGGTGGCTCACACAGCCTCAAGATTCCCAGATTTGAGTATTACACACAACATTTTGGATCAGACCTTGGGAACTGGCAATCCCACAACTTTTTTTTGGATTATTTTCCAAAAGGAAAGGCCTCCCCCGCAGCTTGGTTGTGATTATTTAACTCAACCCTGCCAGGCAGAGCTGCACACTCTTAACATCACAACCAAACAAAACAGCTTTGGAAATGTTTTAAACTCCACAGACTTGGCCAAAAATTCTCTTCAGATGCAAATTTATGCCATGTCCACCTTTCCTAGCTAAAGCCCACACTCTGTGAGTTATCAATACATATATTTTCCACCCATTATTCAAGGTTAGTCTGGACTAAGCTCAGTATTTCCCTTATATTTTGCAACCAGTATTAACAACTAATTCCCTTTTTCCCCTTCCCCTGCAGAGCTACAGGAGCAGTGAGAATAAATCAGATACTTCAGAAGTGAATTCACCCAACAAGCACTTCCCAGAACTCCCGACCTGTCATGGAGATTTATTGATTTCTTTTCTTTTAATAACTCCAAGTCATGTTGGAAACAAACTACTGTAAAGTGAAACTTTAAATCCTGCCTGGTTTTCGTGCCACCTTGGATGGTGAGGCACTTCCACGGGGATGCATTACACAATGTAGTCTTTGCTGCATGTATATTAATAGAAAAAGGAGAAAATATTAATATAAAAATGAGGAAATATTAATATAAAAATGAGGAAATATTAATATAAAAATGAGACAATATTAATATAAAAATGAGAAAAAAAGTTATTTCAAGTTGGTTTTATGTAACAAAATGGGATCCGTTACCTGGTTTTTTAAGTGGATTGGTATTGAATTGAAAGTGAAATATATAAGAGTTGCCAAAATGCCTATTAACACTGTATTTTATTTAAATCCAGGTGTTCTCCAGCCTGCACCTTTAAGCCTCGCCGCAGCAGCTCAGCTTTACACACCGTAAAGCATCACGCCGTGCCGTCCGTAAGTGATTAGTAACTGCAAGGATGAGCAATCACAGCACCAAGCTTCTTCAAGTAAATGCTCTGCCTTCCAATAAACTGAAATCACCCCGTGACTGTGTAAACATCCTTCAGGCAGCTCGTTTTTCTGACAGCAAAACTGTCCCCCAAAATACTTGAGTCCACAGGCAAAAACAGCCTCGTTTCAATTAATTTTACTCAGTGGTTTACTTAGGTAAGGGCTAGACAGTTTGTGCAGCGTCGTATGAGCGCAGTGAAGCACGTGAGCTGTGATCAGAGCAAAATATGAGAAAATAATGAGAAATAATCTTCAGCTGAGAGCAAAAATCTGCAGAATTTTTAATTTAATTTTATTTATTT